CAAGTCACAACCCACCACAGAAGTAGCTGTCATAAACCCTAGAGCAAAGTAACACTTATTTTTAAATGAAGAAAACTAGCATTTTGCTGCAGTCCAAAGCCACTTTTCCTATTTTGAGGTCCTAGAGTTGGTGATGAAGGCCAAGAGAACATGTGCAATTCTCTCCCATTTATGGGACTGAGATGAAAAATTATCAGAAGTCTAGGGGGCAGTAAGCAAGCACCCTTTGAATGTGGGCTGAGCTACACAGTGAGCTGCACACTGTTGGCAGTCACCCTGCCTGCCACAGTTTACCCATAACAATGAGCTCTGACTGTGTTTCCCTCCGTTAGTGCAACCCTTGGTATTAAGCGTAGTTACACACCTGTCACTTGTATAATTTTAGTTTTAGAAAGCAGGTGCAAGACAGGGCCTTGACCCTTGACCTTGGCTTCCAGCACCTAATCTTCTTTGGGCTGGTGGGAAGAAGCATCGGTTATAAACAGTTTTCCTGGTGGATGAGCAAGTCTCCCTTTGAAGATGATCTTGTTTGACATTTGAAGGATTAGCCTGCCTGATATTTGCCCTCTTCCCATGGTTGTTCATTTAGTGGGTGTTCTTAGGAAAGCCCTGTGGTATTTCTGAGTCTGCACCAAATGCCACCTGTGCTAGTGGAGGCATGTGATGACTGACTGTGGGAGGAATGCCATGGTTGCTGACGGGATGTCAAAGTCATGGGTTATGAACTCTGCAGGCAGGGAACAGGGGAGAGAGAGCATGCCAGCACTGTGGAAGGTCAAACCTGTCAGCCTGGACCACAGAAAAGAAGGCAGCCAGTGGAGAATTGGAGAAGCAGAAAGCAGGAACCTGGTAGAGGGTGCTGCCCTCTGAGAGGAGAATGAACGGACAAGCAAAGAGCTCAAGAGAAGGAGAGAGGGGGAGGAAGGGAGGAGAAGAGAGGGAGAGGAAGGGAGAAGGGGGACGGGAAAGGGGAAAGGAAATGGGGAAGGGGAGAAAGGGAGGGAGGGAGAAGGAGAAGGGCCCAAGGGGGAGAGAGAGAGACAGACAGACAGACCAGACAGAGACAGGGAGATGGATTACATGGCAGTCTTGTGAACACACCTCAACAGTTCACATCACTAGACTATATGGGTCTGTTCTTTGTCCCCAAAGAATCTTTCAGTTAAGATTCCCGAGGAATCCAACATGGTTCTTTTCACAAATTTATACACTTAGGACTTTCATTTCTTATTTCCTATTCCTACTTGGCATAAGTCTTTGAAGTTAATTTAATTCTTGTAGAGCCTAAATCTAAAAGCCTAATTCATCGTCAGCTGTCTGAGGAACTTCTCCAGGAGCAGCAACAGGAGAGGTAGAGACATTTAGTCACTGGGTTTTCTCAGGTCCCTCTCAACTTCCACTCCTCCACTGCAGCTGTTCTTGATGGGATAGGCAATTCTGAAAAGGCCTGGAGATCTCACGGCATTATAGCAAGGCAGAACCAGGAGCTTCAGATTCAATGACTCCAAGATAAAGGAATGGTTTTCACTGCATGTGTGAGTGCAGAGTGTGGGGTGGTTAATTTTACCTGAAGGATGCATAGTAAAACACAGGGCATATGTCTGGGTGTGCCGTGAGAGAGGGTGTTTCTAGAGAATATTAGTGTGGATATGAACTGACTGAGGAAGACCCACCCAGGGTGTGTTATCACTGGGCAGGCTTGGGGTTGGGATGGGATAAAGGAGAGAAGAGGGTGGCAGGATTTAGGGGCATGTAGAGGTGCTCTCTGTGCAAGTCGGGCAACCAGAATTTGCCATGTGGAAGAACTGAGGATCAAGTTGTCTTTTGACTTTCACCCATGGGTCGTGGCATAGTGCACCTGTGTATTCTCTCTCTCTCTTTCACACACATAAAGGACAAATAAATGAAGTCTTAACATAGAAGGAGGTGGCTGGTGCATCATGAGCTACATTTTCTAGCTGATGCTGTTGCCTGTGGATGCCAGTTTCTTCAGTGTTTGCCCATGGACTTGAACCAGCAGCTCTCCAGGAGGTGTTCTAGCACATTGTTTTCTGTTTCTCTGAGGTTGCAGCTTTTTGGCCCGACTAGCTACTGGTTTCTTTGGCTCTTCAGCCCACAGGCAGCTTCTGTGGGACTATCCAGGCTCTAATTGTGTAAGTCAATCAGACAAACTACTCAGATAATCCTATTTCCTATTGGTTCTGTTTCTCAGGAGAACCCTGACTCACACAGAAGGCAACTGGATCTGGTGAGAATCCCAAGGCTGTGCGGAAGCAGAGTCCCCACCAGACAAGCTCTCCCCTTTTCAAAGTCACAGACGTGAGCTCAGCAGCAGCTTGTCCACTCTCCTAGCCATGCCCTTCCTCTGTATGCACTGAGGCCATTTTGTGATGAAAGAAGTAAAGAGAGATGGCAGGTGGGACCACCGCGAACCTGCCATGAAGAACAATTTCGGCTGGATAACGTGACTCCCTTCAGCCTTGTCGGCTGCCCTCCAATTTATTTGGTTTCTCTCAGTGCACAGTGGCTGCACAACCCTGGCAGTCCTTCGTTTCATCATGGATCAGCCCACCCAATAGGAACTTGGGGCTGCAAGCAAGAAGAAACAGCTTGCTGGCCTGTTAGCCTAACGTTCATTTATTGGCTATCTTCTGAACCAGCCATTGAATTATACGATGCCAGGGCTGGCAGAGACCTAATAAATCATCAGTTGACCCCATATTTTACAGGTGTCAGCATTTACACGGAGAGGTTAAGTGCTTGCATAAGGTCCCCCAGCAAGGCTGTGGTCAGAATTCAGATCCCCTGTCAGCCAGTTCACCGTGCTTTCCTCCCCACCCTGCTACAGGCAAGGCGAAGATGACAGATTCGTTTATATTGGACATAAGACGAGGGACAGGCACACATTTGCCCTAAATGCTTTAAATTAAATAGTAAGCACCCTGGATGGTGAAAAGGCAGACACTGGGCACTGTTTATTAGGTGAAATTGGAAGGTGAGGATGTAAACACTTTGGTGACCATGTTAGGAAAATAAAGGAGATAATCAGAAGAGGGGCTGTGTTCCTTTGTTTTGTATTACTATATCATGATGCTACAGATTGGGTATTTTATTAGGAAACCAGTTTTATTTCTCATATTTCTGGAGGTTGAAGACCCTATTTCTGGGGAGGGTTTAGTGCTCTGTCATCCCATGGCAGATGGCAGTCAGACACCCTGAGACAGTGATGGCAAGAAGGGCCAACAAACCCACCTTCTTGATAGCTAACCAGGTCCCTTGATTATGACATGAGTTCATTGCTAAGCACCCTCGGCTGTCCCCACTTCCAATCACTATTTCTCTGAGAGTGAAGTTGCCAACACATAAACTCCGAGGTCACATTCACACCGCAGTAGGGAAGAGGGAAGTTCTATTGATCCTGCTTCTCTGCTACATTTATTATTGAATCCTCATTCTTATTAACACACAGCAACATCCTGGGCCATTCTTTTTCCTTGACAGACTCATCTCTGTTTTCATATCTCACAGAAACCCAGGTGCACGCAAGCTTTGAAACCAGCTGTCTCTGATGCAGGATAACACAGCAAGCTTTGGATCCTCCAATAAAATTGACTAGAACATCTGACACTAAATACTTCTATTTGTTCTTTGTAGGAAGGCACACTTTGCATTTGCTATCTTAAAAAAAATAACATAGGAGTGAAAATGGTTGGCATTTTGAGAACAAGGAAACAATAACCAGAAAGCCACTTACAATAATAGATCATAGGACACTGATTGGTGGATTTGCAGTAATTGGTTATTTATAACTGACTCCTAACTTCTTGTAAGTGCCAGTTAACCAAGCTACTAATTTCTTCTTGACAGAAATAGAAGATGGGAATAAACATATTAGAACTGAATTCTAAAAATACACATGTAACAAGTTACTTGAAAAAGAAAGCATCTTTACGTCTTTTTCTAGTAACTCAAAGTAGGACCTGCTAATGCCGGCATATGACAACTGTAACTAATGTGCTGCTCCAGGCCGCCCGCAGGGTGCTTGCCAGCTAGGGAATGTCTGGAGGTATTGGAATGCTGGAAATCTTACATATTTCAGAAGGAATGGCCACACTGTCAGTGAAGCTTTGGAGTAAGAGCGCTGAGCTCTGTGCTGCTTTTCAATTCCAGGGGCTAAACTATAGTTATGTGTGGAAGAAAAGCATCATGGGTACCCAAAGCGCCTTTGTGGATAGCATAATCATGATCTCACCCCTAATACTGGTGGATCAGACCAGCTGTGTGAAATGTGCTCACAAATAGGAGATTTATGCCTGTTTTTTCTTTTGATGATATTCTGTCTTATCTGTAATCTGTTGTAGGGAGGACCCATCCATATCTAAACTAAGATTGATTTATTGTTCCAAATTTAGAGAAAAGAAGGTTGAGATTGGAACATTGCCACAGTCCCTTAAATCATACCCTTAATGAAATAATCAGATGAACTGGGGCCAGTCATCTCAGTGTTCAAGACTGGTGGAGCACCTCTCTGTACCTTGGGACTCCCTGTCGCCTGCTGGACTTTACCAGTTCAGTATAGAAGCTCACGGTTCTTTGGAGGAAAGAGAACACACAGTCTAAAGCCTTACCTTCAAATAAGTGTAGCCCAGGCTGCGAGCCCTGAAACAAATGTATTCATAGTCAAAAGATAAAGAAACTGGTGGCAGCCTAACTAGGTTATTTCTTACTTGCACCCAAAACTCTTAATTCCTACAATTAATATCTCCTACATCAATCATGAGTGCAAATGGCATTTACTCACAACCGTGTATTATGAACCTTCTCTTCCCTTTGAAATTTCTTCAACAGCGGCTGCATTGCTTCCGTTGTTTGTTTTTTTAAATTTACATTTGCATTTGAGAAGAGAGACTCAGCACTTCAGGACACACCGATATTTGTGGCTTGAAGTCAGCTGTGCAATGCCACTTGATAACCAGGCTCAGAGCATTAGCTGCACTTACCCATACTGAACAACACCCACGAGAGGCCCAGCAGGGCCAATGTCAAGAGCCTGGACAACATCTGCTAAGAACTGCTTCTGGATCCGGAAGCGGCGCTTGCCAATGTTCGTGCTCCCATCAATCAAGAAGGACAAGTCAACTTTGCAGTCTGAGGGATAGAAAAAGATGCTGTGATTCCATTTGGCCCTGAGTGCTCCTACCTGGGCATCTTGTCTCTCTCAGTGTTCCCACCTAAGGCTTTCAGTGCTCCCTTCTAGGCAGCTTTCATTCTCCACAAGCCCAGAGAATTGAGTGAGAAGAAAGTGAAAAGAGGCAGTAGGGGCAGGCTACACTTCCCTGAGTGCCAGGGTCCTGGATACTTTGGCTTGTTCTTGTTTGTACACCTGCTTTGGAATTCTGTGTATCAGCCACTACTATAGACCTCAGAAGGCAGTAATACCCAATGCTGCTTGGGAAGAACCTCAAGATGGATTCCTATGCTCACATCACAGAAGTGAAGACTCCTAGAAGCCATGGAAGGCTCAGTGGGTAAGGGTGTTGCTGAGCATGCATAAGGAACTGAGTTGGGATCCCCAGAGTCCAAATTAAAAGCTGCATGTGGCTGCATGCATGCCTGTACCAAGAGTGCTGCATGGGATAGAGACAGGATTGCTGAAGTCTGCTAGCCAGCCATTTTATCCCAAACAGCAATTTCCAGGCTCAGTGAGAGACCCTGTATGCCTGTCTAAGGGAATGAGGTGGCCGCATATGCCATCACTTGTTGCCCTCCCCACCCATGCACACAGGTGAATACCCTACACATAAATGTGTGCTTAAGCACACACACACACACACACACACACACACACACACACACAAGAAGCACAGACTCCCAGATGTTGGGAATTTGCCATGAGCAAGTGTCAAGAACTTGTGGTCTTTCATTCTCACACTTAGCCAAAATATGTGAGATGTGAAAGAACCCACAAGGCCAGCCTGGGAGGGGTGGGGTGGGAGTTATAGGATAAGAAATGGGTAGATTGTTTTTCCCTTCCCTCGATGAAACAATGGAAAAATTATAGACACCATCCATAAGCTAGTTTTATGACTTTGTTGGACCCCGCCCTGCTTCTATTGTGGAAAGAGGAGGTAGATGTTCAGGGTTAGAATGTCTGACCTCTTCAAATAAACCATGGTTCCGTTGTCCCCTGGGGTTGGGTCCTAAGAAACACAGAGGTTGCCTGAATACCCAGGCAGAATGGAACCATATATCCATCTGTTTTCATCTATATGTATACACACACACACATATATATAAAATACACATATATTGAAAGTATCTACGTGATATATATTCACTGCTATGAATTAAACTACATATAGTTTAATATAAATACATAATGTATGAATTAAACTATATATAACATATTGTGAATATATAATATGAATTAAACCACATACATCTATATGTAAATTATATATAGAGTTTAATTCATAAGTTACACACCGTAAGATACTAACAATAACTAACAACAAAACAGAATAATTACAACAATATACTGTAGTTAAACTTGGGCTTATTTATTTCTGGAACTTTCCATTTAATATTTTCAGATTGTGTTTGATGACGGGTAATCAAAGCTGTGGTAAGGCAGGTCTGGTGTTTGCGATGGTTGTGAGGAAGGTGGGACTGCAGGCTGGGTTCAACCTTTAGTGCTACTTGGGCTGACAACCCCCGTGTGCTACTCCCTGCGGCCTTACTGACTGGTAAGACTGATTGTCCATTGATGAGCTGGGGCCCTTATTGGGAGTCCATACAGCCTTAAGATTAATTTTTTTTTTTAAAAAAAAGAAGAATGAATTACTGAATGGTTGCATTTGGGGAGACGAGTATTTTTAAAAACACTCTACGGAGAACTAGAAGAATAAAGAATTTTAATTCGGAGCATCCAAGAACACCCGAGGGCTAGTGAGTGCCCCCTTGTGTTTGGGGGAGAAACTGCACAGACAAGCCAGCATGTTCCTAATGGCGCCATGTTATGTGTAGTGAACACATGGCTTCTTTGGGGCCGGCATTGACTGCCCTCCGTTAACAAAGGCGCTATAGACAAGAAGGGGCCGTTGCAAACACCAAGTGCTTGTGAGCTAGCAAAGTCTGAAGCAACATTGATTAGAAATCATTACTGATGAGGACTGATGCAGAACTGGTGGATGGAGAAAAGTAGAAGTGGAGAATGTGCTGAAATGGCTGTGGAGACCAGAGGAGGTCTTGGGAAGACCTTGGGATGCTTGTCTGCCTCTGCTCCATCTATTTTGTGTCGCAACTCTTCAGCAAATCTCAGCCTTTTTGCCCCTAGTCTGCAAGTGCCTTCTAGGCTTCCCTGTCCAGTTGGCTATCTCCCATGCTGCCTATACCCAAGCGTTACCCTTGAGATGAAGATTGAAGGAACGACGCAATCCAAATGTGGTCTAAAGGCTTCGCTAAAGGCAGGGATGAAGCAGAAGACAGGCAGAACTGCTATAAGGTCTCCCCAAAAGGCCAACGGGTTTTTTCTAGGTCTTGCCTTGCAATGTGAATTATTGCCAGCAGGTGGCAGTAGGGTTCTTCAGCGCTCTCAGGCCCCCTAACACAGTTTGCAGAAAATATGGACTCCTGGGATCCACTCAAAGGTACAGAATCAGATTTGCCTTTAAATACGACCCCCGAGCTTGAGAAGCTCTCCTGAACAAAGGTTTCTTTCCAGACGCCAGCGGATTAGTTCAATATTGCCTTTTAAGACAAGAAAATCGAGTCTAGGAAAGAATAACGGGGTCCCCTACCCCGTTCATTTATTTTCAGCGAAAGCAGTACATGGATTTGGTAGCATCTGTTTTGGTCCCTCAAGGACAACTCGTGCTCATTTCTTACATCTTGAACTATGCTTCAGGAACAACATGTTCGTTTATTTTTTTTTTTGTAATTTTTCTTATGTTCAAATTAGGAACAAGCTTGCTTCACATGTCAATCCCTTTCTCTCTCCCTCCCCTCCCCCCACAACATGTTCGTTTTTTACAGCAAGCAATTTGTCCGATTAATTCTCTTGGACCTCTGGCCTGATTGCTGACTGCTGATGTGGAAGTTACCTTTGTTACCCCTCCCTGGATTAAAAAAAAATAAATCATTTAATCATCACTGGGACCAAACACAAGGCCTTACAGCAAGTCCTAGGCAATCGGTCTATTATTGAAGCAAAAGCCCCTGCCTCTAAACTCCCAGGATATCTTGATGACTATGCTTCCACCTCAAGGTATATATGGACACCGGTACTAATGGGTAGAGACGTGTCATGGGGTACTCAGGGAGGAAGGTCAGATACGTAGTGTCTACAGGAATCAATGCATCATTTTCTTTTCTGCAGTACAGTTCCAAATCTGCAGCTCTATAGATGAACTCATGCATTGCGCTATAGTACATCAGGTTTGTATTTTTTAACTTTGGATGATGTCAGAGGCATGAACAGGTCAAAGGTGCATATACAGTTTCCACAAAATAGCCTGCGAGCTACTCTCAAGCGCCACTAGCAGCTTTGGCTGTAGGATGGCTAGGTCTGGGGTTGGGGCTCTGTCTCTACACATGTTGCAAGTTCCCAGGGCAACTTGCTGATGCTATTTGTCCTCTGACCATACTGGGAGTAGCAAGGTCTGGTGAGAGACTGACATAATAGGTATTAGGCAAAAGAGGGGCATCGTTAGTCTAAAAAATATCTGCAGGCATTTCTTACACACAGTAGAGTTGAGACAGTCCACTGGTGGCAACAGTTTTAGGAGGACTTGCAAATGCTCTCTTTCAGTATGTTGGAAGACACCACTCTTCTCTGCATTTCTCTTTCTCTAGTCCCTCCTTTGTGCTATTCCTGGGTGTCTTCTCCCTTGTCTAGTGTCACTCATCAAATCTTTTTCTATTTAACAGCGTCATGATATAGCCTCTGCTTTGAACCACAGTTAATCTCCCAACTCTAAACCTTTTTAAAATTTTAATATCCATTTAAAATTCCTTTTCTTTTTAATTTGGTGAAGAGTGACAGAATATCTATACTTACTGTCATCTTGTCCCCAACTCTGAATTTCTGACTGGGATGTCCTATTCTAGCCAAATATCAGATCTTGCTATTGGATTGAACGTCTCACAGCAAATGACAGACATAAGCAGTCTCCTGTCCCCAAGCCTGTGTACTTCACCTCAGTACCACCTATCCAGATACACAAGTCATTTTTAAAATTTAAATTACATCTGTGTTTCTTAGTATGTGTGTGTGTGTGTGGGGGCACACATATGCCATGGCACAAGTGTGTAGGTCAGAGGATAATTTATGGGAGTTGCTTTTCTCTTTCCACCGTTATAGAGCCCAGGGTGTTAGGCTTGGCAAAAGGTGCCTTAACCAGCTAAGTAGTTCCTAGAGCCCTGCTGATGTCATTTTCAACTGTCTTGTCTCTTACACCCCACTCCAACCCTATAGATTCGTCCTTTTCTATATTTCTTGAATCTGCCCATTCCTCTCATTTCTGGGTCTAACTCCAAGGACTGGCTTCTATTACCTCCGTGGTACCATTGCCCCTGCAGACCAGTCTGACAATTCTTTTCATCTGCCCTTGCTCCTCATCCCTTCCCATTCTTTACCCTGTTGCCATAGAGACATAAAAAAGAAACCATTCGATTCTCTCCCCCTCATGCAGATACTTTAAATCTTCCAGAAGTCCTCCATTCTCTTTAGAACAAAGTGTCAGAAGATAGGCGATAAATTGATCTGTGGTAAGAGACAGTGGGTCTGCCTGGAAGTGAGAGAGAGCACTGACCACATAGTAAAACCATCCTGAGTTTCTAGCTGCGGGTTAACTCACTTGGATCTCCCTGGGACACGGGCTCTGAAGACTGTGTGCTGAGTTCCTCTTTTGGCACAAATCCTGGAAAGAGAAGTTAAAGTTGTTGTGACTTCCAAGTGTAGGAACACCTGGTCTGACCCCAGAGACGGGGACAGAGTGGACATTCATACCCAGCTCTGGGGCTTGGCTTGTAGCTACCTCTTTTCCATACTGGCCCCATCCTGAGAAAAATAAGTACTGACAGCCTGCTCAAGAGTGCTCTGTTGGATGTTCCAAGGATGTTCTGGTCTCATTTTAACTCGTTCTAAGTCCTCGTTTATTTATGTGAAAACATTACACACTTGCTGGTATAAATTATCATCTCTAAAGTTCTGAATATGTTGAGGTCAGAAAATGATTCTGGCTCTTTCAGACCTTTACTACACTCAGTACACATAGGTCCTTGGCCAAGTTTTGGTGATATAGGCACTGAACGAAGGTGAATTAGACATGTGCTGGCGATCTAGAAAAGGTTGTGTGCAAACTGGAGTGGAACGTAACTCAAATAGATGGGCAGGGAAGACAGAGTCTCACCCCCAGCACTATAAGACTAGGGGCAAAGGTACAAGATACTCAGGCTTGGAAAGGCTGTGTGGAAGGTGGACTTTGGCTAGGCAGGGGTGGGGTGTCTGATTAGGGCTATGGACTCGGAGTGTGGCATTAAGCCACAGACACAGTACGTGCGGATTCTGTTGGGATGACTGTGACCACTGGGTTTCTCAGAGGCGGTAAACATGTGCAGGAAACAGGACTCCTGGTTTTCAGGATGCCTAGCAATTCTGGAAGTTTCCGGCAGTGGAGGCAGGTGTGGGTTTTGGTCTCTCTTTGCTCTCTTAGTTTCTGCCCTGTGCTTCCTCCTTCTTTTTTTTTTTTTTTTTCCAGTTTGCAAAGCACATGATCTCATCTTCCCATGAAAGGTCATCCAGCCTACCCCACTTCCTCAGACCATTTGGAAATTTTGTTTTGGGTGTTCAACAGTATTTCTCAGCCAGATGCCTCCCAGGGACACATCTCAAAGCTCTCCATTGTGTGTGGGGTGGGAGTGGGGGGGCAAGTTCAGAGGTTTGACCTTCCTATTGCCCCTTGCCAGTAAAATCTTGCTTCCTCCCAAGAACAGGAAAGCCTTGTTAGAGGGTCAAACATTTAATATGGTAAACAGTGCAGGACACACACGCTCATTGATGAGAACGGAAAAAACCTCAAACAGTTTTCTTTTTGCTTTCTTTTTTGTATGTTTGTTTTGTAGACAGGGTCTCACTATAGAGCCATGGCTGGCCTGGAGCTCGCTCTGTAGACCACCCTGGCCTCAAACTCACAAGAGATCCACCTGCTCAGCCTCCTGAGTGCTGGGACTAAAGGCATGAGCCACCACCACCAGACAGCCCTTCTGAATGCCACTTTCAAAGGAGACTGAAGTAGGGAGCGACTGTCCATGCTGCTGGAAGCAATGAGGGTCTAAACTCATCTCACAGTGAACTCGCTTCCTCCAGCCCTGTCTTCACGTTTTCTCTCTCCCTTTTGAAGAACCAGTGTTGCCCCAAGCATCCTAGGAATGTTTGAACGGGCCCAAACATGGGCCGGAAGGTCCCCAGGAGGAAGCTTTTAAAAAGCCGGACCACCTGAGCCACCAGCTGGACTGTCAGGCCGTCCATCTTTGTTCTCCAGTGCTGTGTGTTTCCATCTGGTCGGGCTTGAGAGGTCATCTGGACACTTACCTGAATCTAAAAGGACTGGTCCAGGCTTCCACACACCCATCTCTCCTGAATTTCGAGAAGAAGAAACGAACTTACTAAGACCGAACCGGGATACTGTCTCTAGTGAAACGTGAGGATGTTGCTTCCCAGAGTCCCAGGCAGAGGGTTCCAGGTGGGAAACAGGTCCAGGGTTTTGGAGGAAGCAACATGAAATCCTTATGACGCTCCTCCATGTGGAACTCTTAAAACCACAGGTAGGCGCTTTATCCTCTCCTCACCAAGAGGCACAGACTCCAAGGAACCCCAGGATTCCTGAAAAGCTCATCTTGTCAAGAACACCCCATTATCCTTCTATATAGTTTCTGCTACATTAGTGGCTGGTTGGTACTTGAATACTTCTAGAGACTGAGTTACTACCCACCCAGACAAAGCAGTGTATGTTAACATTTTCTTAGATTGCTGAGAACACGGAATTATTTTCCACGTAGCCATCTGAAGTGTTTTGAGCTAAAACTTTCCCCACCATTCAAGTCATCTAGCCATCTTTTCATCCAGCCACCCACTCATCCATACTTACTAACCATTCAATATTCCCCCATGCCGTTCTAATTTGAATACTTTCCCAAAGCTGGCCTCCACCACTTTCCTCTCCCTGTATGCCTCAATCAGAGCAAAGAAACACGGTGCTTGGGCTCTCTTGCTGTGAAGTGAAAGGGTGATGGAGAGTGGGATTCTTTTCATTCAATAAGCTCTGTCTGATTGGGAAATCTGTAAGGTTAAGAGGGACTCGGAGGCTGTGTGAACATGTTGGGAAACCTCACAGCACAAAGATGGCTTATTCTCTATTCCCCTGATCCACTGTGTGCCCTTCCCAGAGACCTTAAGGGCATGAACAGCTTTTGTCTCCTAAAGGCTATCTGTCCCGCTGAGGCTGGAACTACTAAATCACTCAAATGAAGGGTATCTTTTTCTTCATGCAAAGAAGCCAGGGAATTTTTAAAAGGTTAAACATCCATGTACGTCCTTTATTGGTAAGACCTGGATTAATCTGGTTCTGGCATTACTGACTTTGAGTGAGTCAGTAGCACCCTCTGTGAACTTTAACTAGGTTGGGTGGGATTGTCACCACCACCAAGACCTTTATAATGATCTTTAAATATTGTCGCTTTACCCTTATTACTCCAGTGCCACCTGCTGGTGAAAATCAGCACTGCGCTATGATCCTTTCTAAAAAGATGCTTGTGGTTTTTTTTTTTCCCCCAAAGCACCTACAAAGATGTTTTAAGTATTTAAAATAAAACAAATTCTAGCATGAAAGCTAGAATTCTGAGAACATTATGGCTTTGGTGACCTCGGGTTCTTACTTTTGTCCCCAAAGCCTGTCCATCAATGCCACTTTCATCTTGCTGGGAACAAATCTGAACAAATTCACATTCATTTAATAGCCAGGGCCTGAAAAATATTTGGACAGCTGAGACTTGGTGTATTTTGGACTTGATGGTAATGAGAAGTAAGTAAAAGGACATTTGTGTTCAGGTGTCAAGGAGGGACAGGGTGGCATGGGAAGAAAGAAGTCAGAAAACCCATCCGGGGGCGGCCAAGAATAGGCAGGGTGTGCCTCCCCCTCCTTGTCCACAGCTCAGAGGACATAAGTGTACATACAGTCACTCTGAAAAGTGTAAGGCACTCAACAAAGCAGGGGACTGTTTTGGTGACAATTTTTGGTTGGCCTTCTCAGAGTTAGATCCAAGGAAAGGATTGTGATCTGAGAGAGTTCAAGAGGGAAGAATACTCAGGAACCATTAACATTTACCCAGAGGTCCCTCAATGGTAGTCAGAAGCACTTTGAAATTAGTTTAGTCACATTGAGCCTGAATTAGGTACAACTTTGACCCCATTTTGCACATGAGAAAACTGGTATACACAAAAAAAATTGCCTTGGTTGAACTTTGAGCCCAGGTCAGCAGGCTCCTGAGACTGACCTTAATCTCCCTTTATACAACCATCTACCCATCCATCTATCCATCCATCTACCCATCCATCTATCCATCCATTTATACATCCATCCATCAATATATCCATTAATTCATCTATCTATCTATCTATCTATCTATCTATCTATCTATCTATCTATCTATCTCTATCTATCTATCTCTATCATCTATCTCTATCTATCTATCCACCCACCCATCCATTCATCTCTCCATCCATCCATCCACCCATCCTTTCAACCATCTATGCATCTATCAATCAATTTATTAATCCATCTATCTACCCATTCAAACATCCATCCATCTGATTACACCACAGAAAAGCTTGTCCTGGCACTGTCACCTGTTAACTCCGGCTAATGTGGTTAAGTCTTCTAAAGGACCTGGGATGATGATCCCTGCCTCTCTGACTCAATGTAGTACTGAGGCAACTTTCGGAGTCTTCTGTTCCCTTGCACATCTGGAAGTCACTAGCATAAGACCTAAGAGGGAGCTGCAACATATAGCCATCAGGGCTATAAAGTTTTATGGGCTTAAAGCCCAGGTGGCCAGACAGGCCCCAAAGTTCCTCCCTGATGAGTCCCTGTTGCAGTTTAGAGGAGGAAGTAGAAGTTGGACAGTGTAGCAGGCCTCCAGAGCTAGGGATGCTAGCAGCCTCCTGTCCCCTTTCCCGATTGCATGTCCCTAGGGCAAGAGGGCAGCATACTTTCCTTAGACTTTCTCTTGCTGTACCCACACAGGAAGTGCTAAGAGAACAGAGGCCAGCAGCTGTGCCCAAGGCAATGTATGCCAGCAGCCTATTGCAAAGGCACTTTTAGAAACCACTGGGGACATTTTCTAGCTCAGGGCATGAGTTTGTGCCAGTGAAGCATGAATGACCCCAGGTTTACAAACGGGGTGCCCTCCAATATACATGGTGAGATATTTATTTGGGACCTGAAAACTTTTTTTTTTTTTCATGGAAACTCTAATTCCATGCTTGAGTTTCCATGCCAGAGATGCTGAATTGAATCAAACAGAGCCCCTGGGGCCATGCTTGATATTCTGACCTGGGTACACATACTCAAGTATGCATAGACAGGATTCAGTTGACCTGCTTATTCTAGAAGTAGTAGAACAAAAGACTCGAGGGACTCAGCAGTTGCAGTCTCAGTATGAGAGGAGCCAGTTGGGAGGCAGAGTTTGTCTGGTTGGAGCCAGCACTATTTTCAAAGGAGCAGTAATTTTCAGACACAAGCCTTGTGTTCTGTTCCAGGTGCAGTGCTCCACCATGTACTGCCAAGAGACAGAGGGACCCGTTGGAGGAACTGGAGCAATTGACCCCAGAAACGATGAGACATTAGGCTGAGGTTCACAGACTTGAGAGTGTCCGGAAGCTCAGCTTTTCTTTGGTTACTGAAGGTCTCAAAGAGCTTTTGTTTGGGTAGAGCGCCGTTGGTTGGGAGGGCCTTAGAGCAGGTGCATTTTATGCAACTCAGGATCTAACAGTTTTATGGCTGAGGAACTGGGCAGCTTGCTCGACATGTATGAGTCTACTGGAGGTGAGAGCTGGTTGGAGACCTAACATCCGGATGTACTTACCTACCTTTACTCAGTGTATACAGATAGTTGTTGTGTCCCCTGCCCCCCTCCTGCAGGATCTTTTGTGAGATTCCATGGCTATCCATCTCTGTAAATCTTTGGGTTGGGAGAGTGACCCCAGGCAAGGACATGCTGAGAATTTCTGGGAGGGTCTGAGTGGCCCTAGGCAGTTGTGGGGGATGATGGCATTCTAATTTCCTTTCTGTTGCTATAACACAATAACCAAATACAACTCTTGGGAGGAAAGGGTTCATCTATTTTATGCTTTCTAGTTATAGACTATCATTGAGGGAAGTCAGGGCAGGAACTCAAGTAGGAACTTGAAGGCAAAAAGCAACAAAGGATGATGCTTCTAGGCTCATGCTTAGCTAGATTTCTTATAGCCCAGGACTACAAGACTATGGAATGGTGCTGCCCATGGTAGGCCTGGAACTTCTACATCAATTAAAAATCAAGACAGTCCTCTACAGACAGGTTTACAGGTCATCTGACCCTGGCACTCCTTAGGTTGAGATTCTCAGATGAGACTAGGTTGGGCCAAGTTGACAGTTAAAGCTAACTAGGGTAACTGATGAGAAGGAAAAGAGTCACAGAAATGGACAGAATGTTAGAAGGTGTTAGAAGGAAGCCAAAGATATTTGGTGGGTCTAGAAACATGAAGGAGACTGGATAGGAAGTAGAGACCCGTGGAACAAAAGAACTAAAAGACGATTTGGTTAGAAAACAGGAATAAGACTAAATGCATTCAGTAGAACAGAACCTCAAACCAACCCAAAGGTGGTCAGGCAGTAAAACAGAAACTGGAGTTTGAGACTGAGAACATGACCTGCCTGCCACCCATCCCCAATCGTGTCTGATTCACATGGTATATCTTAGTATTGGCTCTTTATCTGAGAGGCCAGCCTGGGGAGATTGCTTAGGTGGGAAATCTCTGGAGGGGACTTAAGGTAATAGAAGTCCTTGGGCCTCCGACCTGATTAAAACTTTGTTTTTGTATTACCAAGTACTTGAAGGTCAAAATGACTTGACATGCTCCCCAAACTCTGGCGACCCAGAGTTGAGCTGGAGAAACCCAGGGAGACCATGGAAGTACATTTCTAGGATGCAAAACTAGAAGCAGAAAGCAGCTTCTCCAGATTGGTACCTGCTCCTGTAGGCTTCTCTGGAACCCTGCCTTTGGATACCCGTGGGGATTCTACAGGCTCAGCGATCTATACAACCAGCAGCTACTTTCTTCTTTTTATTTTATGCCCTGCTGAGAGCGGATCTGGTTCAGACAGTTTCTGCAATCTGTGGTTGGCTCCACCACTGGGGGCTGCAGAGGAGGTAGAAATTTTGACCATGGGAACAAGAGGAGAGAACGGCCCATGGCTTGGCCAGTTCTGGCTCTGAAGCCAAGATGACAGAGTATATTGGCAAAGGTGTTGTTGTGCAGTTCATGGAAACCCAGTTAATCCTGATGGGGAGATGAGAGGGATGGAAGATGGATTTTACTCCCTTTTCATGAGTCAAATAAAACAGAAGCTATGGTGCTGAAGAGGCAGCTTAACAGTTAAGAGCACTCTTGAGGAGGAATGGGTGGGGGTGATTCTATTCCCAGCATTCACATGGTGGCCCACTGTGAACTCCAAGTTTGTATTTGCATTAATTAAGTAAAATTAACCTTGGGTCAGGAGGCTGAGTGAGCAACTAGTTGACAGAAAGTAATCATAGAACTTCAGAGGGCATCTGGGAGAGCTGGAGAGACACAGGAAGTAGTAGGGAGAGGCTTTGTGTAGCGAGGCCTTTTCTGTTTTGAAAGAGCAGATGGACAGGCTTTTTGGAAGACGCCAGAAAGGAGAGAAGGTTAACTAGGTACTACTCAACCTCTCTGAGCTAGCAGGTTTTCATCCCAGCCTTTGAGTCTTCGAGTTTTATTTGTAAACAGAATAATAGAGATTTGGTTAAAGCTACCATTAGTGGCAGTGGAAGAGCCAGTGTCTGCGGAAAGAGAATTCCTGCCAGGCTGCGGCCTGAGCAGCTAGGCTGCTTCGAGAGAAGAAGACCTGCAGTTGCAGAAGTCACAATTCCTGGCTGAAATAACAATAGATTAAGGTGCAGCCACTGTGCAAAGATAAAAGAACAGCCCACAACCATGTACAACTCCAGTTTCAGCAGATGTGAGGCCTTCTGACCTCTTTAGGCACTAATCACACAGGTGATGCACAACATACATGCAGGTTAGTCACTTATACACATACAAATACATAAATAAATATCACAGACACCAGGAGGGAGATACCAACACCTCTTCAGGGCAGTCCTGGCCTCTAGCCCTCATGCCATGTGGCCTCAGAGGGAATAGCATAGCAAAGTTCAACAGCTCCCAGAGCAGGTCTGGTGAGACCTCCTGGGAAGCACCTGTCCATTCCCTTCCCTCTCTGTGAGCCCCAGCAGTGTCGCAGAGACCTGCTGGCTGCAGTTTCTGTTGCAGAACCAAGTCATTGAAGGCTGCATGAAAGTGAAGGGAGTTGAAGCCTGGATGTCGCAATTCAGAGGCGCTTTCCTGGGAGAGAAAGCGTTTCTCTCCCCCAAGCAAGATGCACTCTGCCATTTCTTGGGAGATGATAAAGATTTCCCTTGATCTTTTAAATGAGTTTCCCCAAGCAGGAGCCCCAGACAGTATCTTTTTCCGGCCTCTGAGAGCCTGGTGACTGAACCCTTAGGAACTGCTATCGAAACCTGTACAGAATTGCCTCTGGGAAAGGAAGCTTGGGCAAAGGCTGGGGTTACTTGATGGCTTCCTTACTTCCCTTACAGATTTCTTCGCAAGTTTGGGCCTGAGGGCAGTGTGTTCTGTTGGCCCAGCTAGTTTAAGGCTCCATTCTCTCCAGATCCAGTCGGTGAGGGTTTAGGCAGATAGAACCGTGCAGGATAGCAATGAGGAAGATGGCTAAAGCTCTCACCTGGATGAGAGCCAGGACTGTGTTGGCTGCCTGCATAGGAGGTGGGGGACCACAGACCTGAAATCACAGCTGGACTGGTCAGAGCCTGAACCGGAATCTAGCTGTTGTCATTCTTTCCATGAGTCAACCTAGCAAGCCCAGACCAAGGTCAGAACCAAGGCAAGGCCTTTGTGTTGTCTGAACCTGTCCTGGGGGAGGCATTGGAATGGAAAATAAATAAGTAGACAATAAACAAATACATAAATAGGTAAATAGACAAATAAAACAAATAAAGTAGGCTGAATTTAGAACAGTGGCTGGACATTCCAGGCACTAAACACCCTTGTATTTTGTGACAGGCAAAGTAAATCCCTTATTCGTAAGGGCCATATTTCTTAAATTTCATTGTTCTCAAATGTAATTCCTCTCAACTGTGCCACTCCTGGGGAGGTTAAAGTAATCCTTCAACGGAAATGTCACTTAACATTTAGCAATCTGCCTAAGCTGCATAAACATGGAGCTCACACGAGCAGCACTAGCTTTCCATCATTTTTAGAGACATCCAATGGGGTAGCCTTGATTACTCTGGGAGAGACTCAAACATATTTCAGTGTTCATTGCTTACTGGGCAGATTTCTTGAAGGAAGGCTTTACAGGGAGAAGGGAGACAGAGGAGTTTGCAGAGAGAAATACAGAGCCCCTTTGGGTAAGAAGTTAGCTGAGGAAAAGACCACATTTTGTAGGAGGTAATGTGAAGATTCTAATTCTTTTAGGATTCTCCACAGTGGATTTTCCCCTTTTGTCTGTATTTCAGTTATGCAACATGAACTTAAAGCAACTTTATTTATTATCTGTACAATTCATAAAAGTGACATGGGCTCGCTGTAAAGAAGTTTTCTCTATATACTATGTATGGCAAGGAGCCATCATCTGTTGTCTGTCCAGCAGTTGCTGGTCTTCAGTTTTGGTATGTAGAAATACAAGCCTCGTTCTACGCAATGTTCTCACGTATAACACACAATTGCAGGACCAGGCTGGAAACCCATGATGCAGCTTACTTCTTTGACTGAGCAATCTACCACAGGCCAGTCTCCTCACGCCAGCCAGTGCCCATGTATATCAGCTTTTCTGTTATTGATTTTTTTTTAATTTTTAAGGTTAGCATGCATAGTCAAGGGGTTCATGATGACATTTTATACACATACAGCATTGTATTAGTCTCCTATTCATTTCCCTCCCTCATTGTCTTCTCCCATGTCCCCTTCCCCTCTTGGGGGTCCCTTTCCTTAATTGAACCCCCAATAACCTCCCATTTTCATGTCACATATATTCCACCACCCTTTTACCCTCTTCGTTCTGCTGTTGTCCTCCGTTTTTTAGACCCCTTCTTTCTTAGTCCCTGATCTACCTCTCTCTCTCTCTCTCTCTCTCTCTCTCTCTCTCTCTGTCTACACACACACACACACACACACACACACACACACACACACGAATCTAGATTCCACATGTGAGAGAAAACATGGCATAGTTCTCTTTGGACTCTGCCTTATTTTGCATAAAGTAGTGATGTCTACTTCCCTCTGTTCCTGAAAATGCCATAGTTGCCTTTTTCTTTATGGCTGAATAGCATTTCATTGTGTACATGCAGCTCATTTGAGCAGCTGGCTGGTAACTTTACCCATCCTTCTAATGGTGAGTGAGTAAATCTTCATTTCCCTTCACACGAACACATCCCACAACCCTTCTTCCCCCCCTTGGATAATTCATTCTTGGTGAATGCTGTCATTTCTCCACACTCTTGCCCAATCCGTGTAGTTCAGTTGACAGTATGAATTGTGTGTGTTTGCATGGTTTGGTTTTGATTTTACAAGCCATGATTTCTCTGTGTAGCCCTGGCTCTCCTGGCACTCACTCTGTAGACCAGACTGGCTTGGAACTCACAGAGATCTGCCTACCTCTGCCTCCTGAGTGCTGGGATTAAAGGCGTGTGCCACCAACACCCGGCTTGAATATCCTTTACAAAATACATTTATTGGCCATTTGTAGCTCTGCTGTAGTTTGCCTGGGCATGGTCTTTCTCCAATTTTCTTTTGGAAGATTGGATTTTAAGAAAAACCTTTTCCAGATCCCTTAAGGAAGAAAAACTTCCACGTGACGGAAATACTGGTGAGGAGGGGAAGGGAGTGCTCTGGAGTCCTCTTGCCCCAGTCTGGCAATCTCTTTTTAGTCCTTGCCCAGGGCTGGAGGGGGAAATGAATGTCTCTGCCATTTCTGTACATTGTCACTAGGGGGCGCTCTTCCACCCATCTGGTCTATCTGTACTGAGCATACATTTAATGCTACACCAGCCATGGCCACCAAAGTTCTCTTAAAGTGAACCTGACTGGGAAAATAATGCTGTATACCGCCACTCTACCTTCTAAATCTGAGAGATCCAAGCTGACCAAGCTGGGCCTGTAGCTTGTCTACCATCTTTGTAGAACTCTTTTTAAGAATAGCTATAGACTGTCTCTTTGGGTGGCTCTCTCTGGCGCTGGATGCTCCTGGGGTCACTGGTGCCATCTTTGGACTCTCTCATGAAGGCAGCCTCATTTCTGGCCTGTGAGAGAAGTTTCTGTGCCCCTGGCTCATTACTCCTAGCCTTGTTGGTCTTTTCTGATGTCTTGGCCTGTATATTCATGGGTCACGATGTGTGTCCAGCGCCCCCTTCCCAGAAGTCCTTCCATGCACACGCTGTGAGAGCGCCTGTCTCTTCTGCATCTAAATATTTACATACTTAATGTCGGCCTCCCTCTAAGGACATGTTTCTCAACCTGAGGTTCGAAAACCCTTGGGGGTCATATATCAGATATTTACAATTTCTAACCGTAGCAAAATTGAAATTATGAAGTAGTAATGAAACAATCTTATGATTGGGGTCACCCCAACATGGGGGACTTTAAGGGTAGCAGCATTAGCAAGGTTGAGAACCACTTAGAGTCTAAGGTGTGTTCTTGAGAGGACGCTTGAGAGGACGCTTTTGTCCTCATTGTAGGACAAAGTGACTTTCTGTCCTCAAACACATGCTCCAGCTCCACGTGTGTCAGGCATCCTGTGCTGAAGGAATCAGCTGTGGCTCTTAGTGCATTAAGGTGGGATAGTCACTGTTATATCCTAGAATGCTGTCTGATGACACACTGTAAGCATTCAATACATATTTCTTAAATGAATTAGGCTTTGCTTGAACATCCCAGCCACATAGCATCTCTCCATTTAAATCACACATAGAAAAAAAGGGGGGGGGGACACAATAACAGCATTGTAAGAAGTGTTTTCTTATCATTGGCAGAATATTGCAGCTTGTTTGAACTTAGAGGTAGTTATTTATCTACTAAATATTATTTCATGTAGTTGGGTTAAAATATCACAGCAAATATGCTTAGCTTCGAAAAGGCATCCATAACATTGGGAATGGAACCTGGAGCCTCACTGAGTTCAATCGATAACCACTTTATCATACAATTCTCATTAAGTATATTTTATAGAAGGACACAAGGCAATTTAAATTACTATTAATGATCAAGCTCACAGACCATCTTCTTGAACTACTACTGAACAATGGCAAGGGGCATGGGCTTCAATTCCTTGATGTCACAACCCGGTGTATCATCTACAAAGTTCACATTGAGAACTGTGGACTCAAGTTACAAAGTAAAATTCTCATGCTTATGTAATTTTTAAAGAGGGTCATTCATAAAAGTAGATAGATGTTTATCTAGGACACTGGTTCTCAATCCTCCTAACGCTGTGACCCTTTAATACAGTTCCTCACGTTGTGGTGACCCCCCAGCCATAAAATTATTTTCTTTGCTACTTCACAACTGCAATTTTGCTACTGTTATGAATAGTAACATAAATATCTGTGTTTTCCAATGGTCTTAGGAGACCCCGGTGAAAGGGTCATTTGGTCCCCAAAGGGGTTGTGACCCATAGGTTGAGAACCGTTGATTTAACCAACGGTGGTGTCTCAGGTTCAGGTTCATAGGAATGGGGTTTCTTTGGGAGTGATGAAAATGTTCTGGAATTTGAATGTTGCGATTGCCATGTAACTATAGCTATACTAAACCCCCTGAATAAGAACTTTAAATGGGTGAATTGAATGGGATGTGAAGAATGTCTCAATACAACCATTATTTTAAATCGACAAATGCATTGGGCATCCATATCTGCATCTTCTCATGCACACAGAATGCCTTTGAGTGGGCTATGCAGTAGTTAAGAACTCCTCCTTCCCTGCCTACTTGGGCTCCTGTCTTAACGACTATGGCGCCTGCTGCCCCTCTCTCCAAGGCTGTGCCCAGCAGCGTTGCATGGGTTGCATGGAAGTGGGTGCTGTGCAAGCAGAGGGAACACTGATGGGCTGGGAGGCTGCTGTCCAAAGCCCCCGTCCCAAAGCCAGGAATAGCAAAGCTTTGCCAGGCAGGGAGTCACAGCTTCAGGGTTTTATTGAGGAGTTTTCAGCTAAATTGGCATCAAGATGCCCAAGCTGCCAATAGAAAGCAAGTAAACAAGCCACAATTCACCATTCTCTGTTGCATAAGAACTGATACCCTCTGGGAGAGACAACAGCTGATTCAGATACTCGATGTATTTGAAAGCATGAAGGGATCAAAAGCCAAGAGCTTGGGATGTGCTAAAGAAAAGGCTCTGGCTCTGGGGGCTCCTGTGAGCCCTGGTCACCCAGCACCACAGACTACCATGTCTCTCTTATTGCCAGGTGACATTAACTTGTGTTAATATTAGTCCAGTCAAACAAGAGTAGGATGGGGTGGGGAGCATGTGTTTCCAAACTTCACAAAATTGTTGTTGTGATTCTCTGACTTGGGACCTTTAGGTCCCAACTTCTCCCATGAGGCATCTATAAAATACAATGTTTACAGTGGAATCAGTTACAAGAATATAAGAAAGCATGTGATATACTCGGCCCATGAAATGCATGGGTACATTGCTTCCTGACATTTATTATTAACCCCTGAAGACCGTTAGGGAAGCCCAACAGCCTCTGAACTTGCCACTTCACCCTTCTCAAAGTATGGCCCTCCGTGGCTGTGTATTTGCTGATGGCTGGGATTCCTGCTCTGCTTGCTCACCTGTGTGACCTAGGGGTCGTTCCCTTATCACCTTATTTCTTAGTTCATTCACCGTAACAATGGATCTGCTCCAGTTAGAAGCCATATAGCTCTGTCCCAGAGTTGTTATGATCTAGTAATCTAACATGTGTAAGTTGCCTTGCAAGTGCAAATCTTCCTGTAGAAAATGAAAGGGTGGGTAGACAGGTGGCTGGGCTCTGCCAGGGTAGGGTAGGGTCATGCTGCCTGGCAATAAGGATTGAAAACTAGGAGTGAGGCTGAAAACAAGGCCTGGGAACTTCCTCCAATGAGGAAAATGTGCCACAAGACAGGGACATTCAAAGAAACCTTCCGAGATAATAGCCATCCCATTGAACAATTTCCCATCCCCCTTGCCAGGAAACTATTTGAACTGACACAGGTGCTCTTTATCTCAGCGTGGTGAAGATAGATTGTATTATGTGACAAGCAAGCGTATCAGATATCTGACTTCCTAAAGGGATTCCTTTGGTTTTATCGTTAATATCTAAAGACTCTGGGTGTGGGCCATTTATTATTTAAAGAAACAAACAAAACCCAGTAACACAGCAATGGTAAGAGTTAAACCTACTGTCTTTTTCAACTGAGCTTTTAGGGGGACAGCAATCTTGTAAAGGTAATGCATCACATATTATCCTATCTTTTTGGGTATGGCAACGGTAGTTGTGTTTTGAGCCTGGAAGACACAACCTGCCTCCCTCTCCGGTGAAGGTTTCACTGGCTCTCTAATCACTAGCTGAAAAGGTAAGGGCTGGGCACTGTCTACCAGCTTCAACGAAGTTGTTCCTTTCAGGATACACCACCTATTCTTGTAGTGCACAGCAATACACAGCCACCTACTCACCCATCTCTTGGCTCCTGTGGCCCACAGGTTGGGGTCTGGGGCTGCTGGTTACAGATGCTGCCAATGGCTTTGATGTGGTTCTGTGGGTGGCCTCAGCTACTGGGATAGCTAGAGCCTGTGTCAGGGTAACAGGCTGTGTGGTTGTCCCCGTAATAGATGGTTTCTCATAGGCTTTTGTGGCCTCACCTGTAAGAAAACAGAATTGTGCTGGTGTCTACAAAATAGCCTGTAGGACTTAGAGACCAGAGTCAAATAAATGTTTACTGAACACCATCAGCTTTTTTTAAGAGTGGAATCTAGATAAATAGCCCATGCAATTTCAGAGCAATAAGCCAACCAACAACCAAAGATTAAATAACACACTTGAGTGTCAGATCCCTTGGAGCTTGAGTTAAGGTGATTGTGAGTAGCCTTATATGACATGGGCACTGGGAATTGAACCCAGGTCCTTTGTAAGAGCAACAAGTGCTTTTAGCCACTGAGCCATCTCTTCAGCCAGAGTGGGAGGTCATGTCCAGGGCCATGGAATTCAAGGCTTCAGAGGCTTCTTGCAAAGCAAGTCTCAATTTGTTAGTGCTCCAAGTGCCAAGAGAGTCTCAATGGGGGCTTAGGGAAGGGGGTGGGGTACTGCATGGATGCTGGGGACTATCTGGGGACCTTGAGCCAGGGCTGTAGAGGGACATAATAGCCATCCTCTCACCCCATGACCAGTCCGTCAGGTCCAGGTCTGTTGTCAGTGGTACTGGGAACCCAGTGGAGTATTAATGTTCTATAACTGGGAATCTGGTGTTCTGGTGTTGTCATACATTAGGATACATACATATCCTAAACTTGGTGGCTTAAAGTAACAGATTCATTTTCTTATGGTTCTGGAGGCCAGGGTGTTGTGGAATATTATTTTAAGGTATGTTACTTTTGTTTATGCTGCATTGGTTTAACTCTGTGAAGCTGTGTTGTTTTTGCCTGTCTTAAACACCTGGTGGTCTAATAAAGCGCTGAAAGGCCAATAATCAGGCAGGAGAAAGGGTAGGCAGAGCTGGCAGGAAGATAGAATAAATAGGAAGAGAAATCTGGGAGGAAAGTCGAAGGAGCAAGATAGAACAAGGAAAGAGGATGCTAGGGGCCAGCCGCACAGCCAACCATGAAGTAAGAGTGAAAGGTGAGATTACAGAAGTAAGATAAAGGTAAAAGTCCAGAGGCAAAAGGTAGACCAGTTAATTCAAGAAAAGCTGACTAGAAACAAGTCAAGCTAAGACCGGGCATTTAAAAGAAATACTAAGCCTCTGTGTGTTTTATTTGGGAACTGGGCGGTGGGTTCCCCCAAAGAGTAAAAAGTATAAAAGCAACCAACACCACCAGGATTCCAAAATAAGGACTGCTGGGCCAGGTTTAAGGCCTCAGCAGCGCTGAGCTTCCTCAAGGAAGAGGGAGGGTAGAATGTGTTCCATGCATCCGCCAAGTTCATCGGGATTGGCCTATGGCCCTCTTTCAAGTTAGCATCCTCATTTGTTTTCTCTGCTCTGTCTTCATGTGACCTTTTCTCAGGGGGTGAAGTAATTTTCCTCTACTTTCTTTTGTGGAGATGTATGTGATTGTATTTAGGGTCCACACAAATAATCTGTGATAAATATCCATTGTCAAGACCCTTAGCCATATTTGGAAAAAGTTCCTCTCCATAGAAGGGCACACTTGGGTTCCAGCGATCGGGATCTGACTATCTTTTTGAGGGGAACTTTTCAGGCCACCATAGCATCCTGGCTCTAGTATTCACTGTGATCAGGGCTGATGCATTTTAGGCTCATGTGTTGTAATCCAGGCAAACCTGGCCCCACCTCTCACCCACCTGCGCTTGGCAGGTGTATGTACCCTGGCCCTAAAAGAAGAAAAACTCCACCCACTTCTGCTCGCTCTTTCCTGCTGTTCCTCTGAAGGGCCAGACAGGACTTTTTCTGTCTCTCCCTTCTACCCCCCCATTTTCTTCTGTCTTTTGTCCCCCTCTGTCTCTGTGTCTCTTTACCTCTTTTCTCTTTCCTCCCCCCCTTTTTTTTTTACCTCCTCCTCAATAAAACTTCCAATATGATTCACCATCTACAGGTCTGTTTCCCCACCCACCCACTGTCCATCACCCGCTGCACTGTGGAATGAGGGACCTGCCACAC